ATATACATATTATTTGCACTTAATGTCCTATGAGTCATGCAATCTAGGAGAATCTTATCAATTTTGTTTTAATTTAAATTTCACCTTCTTTTTATTCTTCCAACCATCTGGTGAAACAAAAAATGGAATGGATCGAGTAGTTACATTTAAATCCGGTTTCAATGCTATAATAGCTAATGATTCCTTAATCTTCAATCTTTGAACAGAATTGTCTTTGTACAAGATATTACAATCATTATAATTTGTTTTATGGTTAAATTTCATTTCATGTTTAGCCAGTGCTGATTTTATATCAGACTGTTTATACGAATTCATATAAATGGTCCCGTTTCCCCATTCTGAGGATCATCACCTATTGGTTGACTACCTTGTTGAGAATTGACTCGTTTCTTCTTTAATCGATCCGATCTTTTTAATCCCGTATCTATTGTAGATGTGGGGGAGTTTGTGGAGATTTGAATTCACTAATAGCATTTGATTCACGGTATCCATGTTTCCACATACGTCTAATAACCTGTCGAGTGGTCTCTCCAACATAATGTGATGGGCAATTATTACAAGTAAAGTGATAAGCCACTCCAGATTGTAAGCTTTTTGGAATACCATTCATGTTGTTAAAATTTTGCTCCACAGTAGAAGGAGGTGTAGGAATAACTAATAACTGTAGATTAGGTTTCTCCTTTTTTGCTGAATGTTGTACCCGTCTAATAAATTGTTTTATGGAAGAACCAATGTATAGTGAATTAATCATAGTAAATTCAGTTTTTGGGTGTGGATGTGGGAGTGGGTATGGGTGTGGGTGGGTGTGGGGTGTGGGAGTGGGTGTGGGAGGGAAAAATACTCACACCCACACCTCCACCCTTCAACGTTCGTTGTGGTCAAGTGTTCGAAACGAACTATCGATTTGTCAAGTCAAATAGAGAGAGAGAATCGCAACAATACTTTATATTGACCGTGGCGCTGGGCAAATGTTTCAATTTAATGATAAAACTCGTCATATTTTCCAACGAACTAAGGGTATGAGCGTGTGGATGTAGGTGTGGGTGTGAAGAGAATTGGGACACCGCACCCACACCCACACTCCACATCCACCCACACCCACACTCCACATCCACCCACACTCCACATCCACCCACACCCACACTCCACATCCACCCACACCCACACTCCACATCCACCCACAGCTATACACTCAACTGACACCCCACATCCATCGACATTCATACCCGCACCCACATCCACCTACACCCGCTCACATCCACACCCACACTTCACATCTACCCACATCCACACTCCACATCCACTCACACCCCACATCCACCCACACCCACACTCCACATCCACCCACAGCTATACACTCAACTGACACCCCACATCCATCGACATTCATACCCGCACCCACATCCACCTACACCCGCTCACATCCACACCCACACACGCTGGATTCCTGATGCGCATTTTTTTAATAATGAATACAAATACAATTCATCTTTCTAAATAGTATCACACAGTATATGCATTCAGCTGTTTTCTCGTCGTCAAAATCAAGCGCCGAAAAGCAGAAGTTCAGTATTGCCGGACTGAATTTGTGTTTTATTGGAGATCAGTGTGTATTTGTGATAACCCATTAGAAAGTCTATGCAGCGGTAAGTGCTATTTTTCGCTCAGCTTGAAATTTTTCGTGGATGATTTTCTGATACCTTAACGGCGATAAATGTCGGTTGAGTGATAAATCGTTTATTGGAGTCGAAAAGGAATCTCCATGCAACTTTCGCAAATCCTCTTCTTTTTTCTTTGTGTTAGAGTAAGCAGCATTGTTTCTTTCCTTTAAATAATTGCTTACATCATGCATTAAACGTAAAAGTAAATCGTCTTCATGGTCAAATATTGCCGTTATAGCATCAATATAATCCGATGTCCAGCTCAGATGATACAAAATATTGCCGCAAAATATATAGATAGCATAGATTTGTGGTAACGTAGCTATTATTGGCACAATCAATTTGCCTAACGAACCCGATGTAATAAAAAAAATGTTTTTGTCTGTATTCCGTCGAATAAATTCCAAACATTTGTCTTTATCTGAAAATAATGTCAAAGCATAAACTTCGTCCTGCAACTCATATAGTACATGCGGTGACATATAGGATATTGTTTCTTCGGCTGTAACATCTTCAGACTTGTGCTTGATCGATTGTAATTGTTTTTCAAATTTGCTTTTCATTTCAGTATTATTCATTGGTTGGCCGATATGACTATCCAGCCAGACAACTAAATGAGAGTCTTTTGGTGGACCTTCTGTATCGGCGTATGGGATACAAGTGCCAACTTTGAGATCTGGTTCCATAACTAGATAGAAACAAACAACTAATTTCATTATTCTGGAGAGTTGGAAAAGCTTATCAGCTCATAATGTTCGATCAAACTGGTTTGTGTACTATATCCGCTTGACATATAGAAGAAGATCACTTTTTCTACACAGATATGTGGACTGCGTGTGAGTCGACAACAAATCTTCTGCCCTCAAAGTGGGGTATTCGATACGAATACTATCCGCGGAGAAGTGCTCATCACGAAAGAATGTCGTAAGAAAAACTTCAATAACAAGTCTGACTGTTGTGAGCTTTCTAGAATTCAGTCGTCTGCACAAAAGTGTCACTGGCAGCTAGAGAGCTGCGGGCCCTTCCAGACCCGGGCCTGGACCCGGGTCTGAAAATTTAGCTTTTACCGGGCCCGGGTTCGGGTCCGGGTCTAAACCTAAGAGGAAAGTCAGACCCGGTCTGCATTAAGTTATGAATGGAAATATATAACAATAACAATTAAAGTTAACAAAATTGAAAAAGGAACAGTCAGAAATAATTTTACACTCATTTGACCTTTGAAGTCTCCAATGAAGAGCTAAAATTGCGTTCCCTTTTCTGTTCATGTACACATAGGGTGTCAAATATTGGTGAAAAGAGGATCGGGTCTAGACCCGGCCGGGTCTGGGTCTAGACTCGGCCGGGTCCGGGTCGGGTCCGGGTCTGAAAATTTAGTTTTTCCAGGGCCCGGGTCCGGGTCCAAAAAAACATGGACCCGCAGCTCTCTACTGGCAGCATACCTTGTTGATTCATTCTTAGTAGTAATTTTTCTTGTATTTCGTAGGCGTTCCTCATTTTGATGACATTAAGCTGCTTTTCATTTCGTAGTTTTCCGGAGGATTGATCTTCCAGTATTGATTGAAAAATTTTCCATAACTGATGGCTTGATAAGAAGTTTGCAAACATGTCAATTCTATCGTCGTTTGGCAAAGCATAATCCAAAAAATTACACCATTTGTTGATAGTTATAGAATCCCATGTTTCGTCTCCAGCTTCAGAGACGGTTAGCATGATAAAATAACCCCATATATCATTAGCTGGTTGCTCAAAACATTGTGCTATTTCTTGTAATTCATCCATATGATATAATAGAATAGTGTTACTCAGCTCAGATTGTGGGTCTTCGAATGGTTTACCTTGATGAACGTTTATCCATAATATGTGAGCTAGATCAAATGACAGTTGATTTGTAACAGCAAACTTCAGGCTATTATTTCTGAAGGGAAATCGTTGTATCTTTGTACAAATTAATAGTTTTGAATCCATATCAATTTTTTTCATTGGTACTAGTATGTTGAGATGCTGTAGTTCTAAGCTTTTACTTAAAGCTTCACGCTTCGGCGTAGTGCGTAATAAAGCAAAGAAGGTCGGGCATACATCGAATCGTTTGAGTGAGTCCAGTGTCATATGTAGCATAGCCCGTATCAGTTCAACTGAAGTACTTTCATCGCCAAATTCTTTATATAACGTTGGCCAATTCATCTGTGAATGAACCGCATCATTATATAGGATTGCAAAGTCTCGATCAATATGATAGGAGAGTGTGGATGAATCTTGAAATTCAAATGCGCCGGCTAGTTTGGATGAATCTTCGATGTTGTATAGTTCGTAAAAGTGAGAATGTTTCGAAAAGGGAGTACTTATTTTCATCGATAAAAATGGTATGATAAGTTGATCAAAAGGGCGCACAATACACGATCGTTTGTATGATTCTGTATCAGGATATTGATAATATTGAGTGACACAGGCAGTCATTGTTGTTGTTGATATCTTCGTTACGGACATCGTGGTTACATGCTCCCAGTTCTCTATTTCTCGTTTTGCTTTAATATACTCGGGCTCCGATTTTTCTGGATTACGTTCATACTTAGCAATGTGATGCAGAGCTGCTGTTGCAGCACTACCATGTGGACAAATCGCATATAATACGTGTTCTTCTGATTGATTGTCACAATTTGTCCGTATGTCAGGATGATAATTTGCTTTGAGTATGATTTGTGTAACCATATCAACATCAGTGTAACCATATTTGTTCATATTTGAATGAAGAACCAATTGTTTATCCATTTTTCCTGCTTTTAGCTTTTTCAACATCTTTGTTAATTTTTTCATATTTTCTTGATCTTCCCATGCACATGCGTTTTCTAGTCCACCCAGTAGTTCTCGCTCTTGATTTTTCCATGCATCGTTTAGTTTTTTCAGTGTTTTCTCCATATCCAACTTACTGCAAAAACCGAATATTAATGAATCATCACAATCTATTTTAGTGGCGCGTTCGATTATGCCTTGTGGTATCGGATCACCAGGAAATGGCTGCATTGACATAAATCTGATGACGAAAGGTGGCTTGTCACCATCTCTAATAATCATTGAATAATCAGCTGGTTCACTATATTTGTCATTTTTCATCAAGTCTTCATATATTCGCTCACATTTGTCCAAAACGTCACAATGTTTCTGGTAGTGTCTACTCCGAGGATCATGAAACATCCCGTTATACTCGGCTTCATAATTAGACCTTTTCCAGTTTGAATGAGTTAGATAGCTGATGGCAAGAGCAATAGGAGCTAAATTATAACACTGTTCTGCTGAAAGGTGGTATTGATTTTTTAGCTGGTTTGGGTACATGGTCGTGCAATACCGATAAAATGGCATGTTCATAGTCGAAACGTATAAGCAGTCGAGTATATAACGAACTAGTCTTGGATGTAGAACAACCAATGGATTTCGAAATCGTTCGTTTGTCTTGATTGTACTTGTTGTTGTGTTTTCAGTTGGTGTACCTAAATATTTATCAAAACAATAGCTTTTTGAATCGTCGACGATGTGTCTTAGTTGCTCTGGAGTCTGAATAATACCCGAATAAATAGCCCGACAGTACTCAGCAGCCAACGAATGATGTCCGAAATGCTTTGATTGACACTGATCGATTGGCCATATACCGTCGTTATCTGTCGAAAGTACAACTGGTATGCGAGGATCTTCGAAAAAACTATCTAATGAATGTGTTTGTTCTACAGTTCGTCCGCGTCGAACTGACTCGCCTAACAGATAAATATTACTTGTTATATTCACTTCAAATGCAATGTTTTGAAAAATCTGTCTTGACAATTCTTTCATTTCAGCCATTAAGACAGACGATTTACGGTTGCTGGATTTTGTGTCGTCTTTATAGTCAAAGATGATGTTAAATGCGATGCCGTGCCCAACACGAATACCATAACCTAACTCTTGTTTTAAATATTCTATCCCAAGAAGAACGATGTACATATGTGAGACAAAGAGGTGGTAGCCGGGCAACGTAGAATTGACGGCAGCTACATTTTCACCTCCATGAATGCGTAATCCATAGTTTGGATTTGATTCTCTTCGTTTTCGCACGTGTTCAAGGAATTCTTTGGCCACAAAAGGACAATACGGAAAACCTAGTTCGTCGCCACATAAATCGAGACCAACCACCCAATGATAAAATACTGGAATACAAGCTCCTGTTTCTTCAAGTTTGGTTAATTTGTGGATTAAAGCAGAAAATAGCCTACTATCTTCATTGTTACTGCTTCGAATAATTTCATCTAGCATATGGTATATAGCTAGCTGCGGTGCTTCAGCTAATAATTGTATGGCTTTCTCCTGTTCATACGGCTTCGCCTTTGTAGCATCAATCACATCCATATCTAAGTCAATGAATCGACGATTGAAACCAGCTAGAAATCTGTATGTCACCTCGTTTCTAGATTCGGAAGTAAACCACGGGAAATCTTTCATAATTTGACGAAAGGCTGTTTCGGTATTTGTATAGTTAGTGTCATGTCGCGGAGAAAAACTACGAAGTATATCGAAAATGTGTGCACTCGATAAATCTCCGACGCCGATGGAAAATTCACAATATTTAACAGGTGGAATACACGTTTGATAACGGCGTAGAGCATGCTGTAATAGCAATCCTAGTATATCCAGTCTTTGTTCGTACAAAGAATTTTTTAGTGCGAAACGACGTGGATAGAATTCAGGTGTGAATAGACCACGAAATGAGTGATAGTCAATCGACCGTGGCCTGGTTCCATCGGCATTACACATTGAAAATGCATTGATTATATGTGCGCGAGCATCACGCTTTGCTGGATGAAAGATATCTTCCATTGCCAAATCACCATCGATCAGTTCATAAAGCTTTTCGACTATCATACCGTGCACAATTTGAATTTTCTGTTCGCGAGCATTAAATATAATCCAATATTTGAATGGTGATATGCCATGGTCGTCTTGTTTATATACACCAAGCTTTTCTTCTAGTGTCATTTGAACTATATCGAGGTTAGAATTCGTCAATGAGAACGCATTTGCGAAATTTTCCATGCTTATTACAACATCATACGAAAAATCTCTGGCGAATGAAAGATCACGATGTTCCATCTCACGGCGCAGTTTAGGAGTATATAACTCTCTTAACGTAACTGTTTCGTCATCATCACCATCAAAATTTACGTCAGGTCCATCACGTAAATGATCGAAAAACTCGGCCGTTCGTTTCCTGTCTACAAACCCATCTTGACACCAAACCAAAGGCCCGAGCCGTCGCCGCAGCTGAAGATCATCACGAAACTGGGTATTAGTCGGTAAAATGGTTCGGTTCGTTAATACATTATTTATCCAGAATTCAGCATTTCCCATGCCAAGTAAATGTGTATGTAACTCATAAAGTTCTGGTTTGTTACCCAATTCAATGTTTAATAGCGAACGCTTGTTATTCATTTTGAATCTAAATGGTTTAATATCTGTAAGATATTCATAAATATTCGTCATTTATTCTTTTATATAGTCATAAAAGAGAGACAGCACAAAAAGCAAAGCAGAGGGAGAGGATTGGGTCAAAAGTGACTGATTGATCAATGACTAATGAACATACGGAAGCGAAGAGGAGACAAAAAAAAGAGGAAGATAGATGAACAACTGATGAATCATTATCTATTACAATACCTTCATGATGGTATTATATAAACCAAGCAGTTTTTCGATGGAGCAAGAATTTCGAAGAAAAAAGTCATTCTTTTCTGCAATACATTCACTTCTCTGAGCACATTCCTTTGATTATGTTGTTCGTTTACCAAGATATCATCTATTTTACTTTCTACCAGCGCCATCACCTCTACATTTTCCCTTTTACTCTGCGTTACAAATGAAAACACGTTTTGTACATTGAAAGTACGATACTATAACCAAAAACAGTACTGAAAACTAACTGGTTTCACGATCCTTAAGTATATTATTTTATCATTAATTTTTTTTTCAAAAGAGGTTGATCAAGTCTTTTTGAGTGTTCTCTAATATTAATTTAAAAGAGAGGGATTGAGTGTATTATTCCACCTGTTGAAAGTAATATTAGTTACCTGAGCCAAATCCATTTTTGTCAATGATTCTGAAATGTCACTGACACTCGTCTATAATCTATTGATTATTTTCAATTAATTGAAACCACAAGAACAAACTATATGGATCTGTTGTTCGGAAAAGTGTCATATACTTCTTCTATAAATGCCACACTAAAAATGTTTAAATGTTCACGTCTCCACCTTGAATATCAGTAGAATACTAACGGTAGCGAACACAAAACTTTTCGAAAATGTATTTACACTATGTTTTGAAAAGATGACCGTTTTCCATAACCATTTAATCATTTAAAGAACACAACCCTCCTCAAAACGGACATTAAGTGAATAAGTAGGCTGAAGATGAATTTTGCTTATGATCATTCT